TTATATTGTTTGCAACTTGTTTTGTTAATTTAATGTATACGGCCATGGCATTTTTGTAATTATTGAGAAAGGGGGCAGGTCTATACAAGATTTTCTTCTTTCTGTTCCCTCTTCACTCATGTAAATAAGTGTTGTCAGAGAATGTGTTTGTAAACTGATGATCAATTTTTTTGAATCGAGTGAATAAATTGTTTGATTAGTGTTGGCGGCAAGTTTCCATGCTCAAATGAGTGTACAAACATGTCTGTTAGTGGTCCCACCACTAGGTGGCTTAATTTCTTATAAAATTCTGGACAGAATCCATCCGGTCCAGGAGCTTTACCACCCTTAAGGGAGGCTATGGATTCTCGGACTTCCTTCTGAGAAATTTGAGCGTTTAACATTTCTTGTTGTTACTCTGATTTGCATGGGAGCATTACTCCACTTAAGAATTTTGTTATTTTAGTATCAGATGAGTCACATTCAGATGAATACAGCTTTTGGTAAACTTGTTATTATTTTTGTTTATTATTATTGACCTTTATTTAACCAGGCAAATCCCACTGAGATCACAGATCTCTTTTGCAAGGGAGGCCTGGGCCTGAAGGCAGACTAACATGCATGTTTTTGATTTGTGGGAGGAAACCGGAGTACCCAGAGAAAACCCACACAAGCACGAGAAGAACATGCAAACTCCACACAGAAAGACCCCAGATCCAACCGGGGATTGAACCCAAGACCTTCTTGCTGTGAGGCAACAGTGTTAACCACTGAGCCATCATGCTGCCTTGTCTCATAATCCTATTAATGTCTGTTGTTCTGTAATGCCTGTCTTAGTTATTACCACACAATGAGGATATTGTGTTTGGTTCTATTCTGCCTTTTGTCAGCCTTACTAGCAATCGTCCTGGATTGTTCCCTGATTCATATAGTCTGTGTTTAGCAAAGAAAATAGTTGATGCTGCTTGTTTTGTTAATAGTTGATTTAAAGCTGAGTGAGCTGCTTCTAGTTTTTTAGAGAGGACTCTAATAGGTGTATTTTTAAATTGTAACTCTGTCTGTTGTACTGTTCTTTCTAATTGTAATTGTTCTTTAATGGTGGCTTTTTTCTGAGCTGTGGTATAAGATATGATACTTCCCCTAATAAAAGCTTTATACATTTCCCAGAGCAACGATGGGTTGACATCTGGTTTCTTATTAGTATCCAAGAAAATATCCCACTGGTTCGTAATGTAGTCAATAAAAGATGGATAGCTCAATAAAGAGGGGTTCATTCTCCAGTGGCAAGAGGCGGGGTCAGCATATGGAGGAGTAATACACAGACTTACATGAGAGTGGTCAGACATTGTGCATGTGCTAACTGAGCATTTTCTAACTCGATATAACACCGTTCTCGAAGATAGGAAGACGTCAATTCTGGAGAACATTTGGTGAGATTGAGAGAAAAAAAAGTATTATTATCTCTCTCTCTGGGGTTAGTGACTCTCCAGGCATCAAACAATTTTAAGTCTTGGCAAACCTCTTGTAATCACAAACTTTTTCTGGAGGTAGCGGTGGGTCTAGGGGGAAAGTGCTCAACACAAGGATTATAGATACAGTTAAAATCTCCCCCCAACACAACATATGGTGTACAAAGTATGTATTGATACAATATCTGACAGAAGCTTTGGGGAGAAAGTAGCCTCGTACATATTAGGGTCATATATGCAGCCATTTAGGGCATGTTCCCCATAAAGGTAACCTGAGATAAGAACATATCGGCCATCATTATCATTCATGGTTTTCTCCAATGTAAAGGGAAGGCTGCAATGGATTAGTATGGCAACTCCTCTACTCTTTGAATTATATGAGAAATAAAACACCTGGCCTGCCCAAGTCCTTCTCAATTTAAAGTGCTCATTGTTGGTTAAGTGAGGTTCAGACAGTAAAGCAATTTTTGTGATTTCCTTTTTAAAAATGTTAGGATCTTTTGTCTTTTTATAACATTGTTTATTCCCTTATCATTAAGGGAGACTATCCTAATGAATGCTCAATAATCCAGGTAGAAAAATCTAAAAAAGTTAAATCTGGTCCTCTGGACATTCAAAAAACAAAATTCAATTCAATTAAATTCAGTTTATTTATCCATCCATCCATCCATCCATTTTCTTTACCCGCTTATTCCATTTTGGGTCACGGGGGTCGCTGGTGCCCATGTCCAGCAATCACTGTGCGAGGGGCGGGGTACACCCTGGACGGGTCGCAAGTCCATCACAGGGCCACATAGAGACAAACGAGACAAACAACCATTCACTCTCTCACTCACACCTAGGGACAATTTAGAGTTACCAATCAGCCTAACATGCATGTTTTTGGTCTGTGGGAGGAAACCGGAGTACCCGGAGAAAACCCACGCATGCACGGAGAGAACATGCAAACTCCACCCAGAAAGGCCCCTGGACCGGGGTTTGAACCAGGGACCTGCTCGCTGAGAGGCAGCAGCTCTACCAGTTGCGCCACCGTGCTGCCCTCAGTTTATTTATATAGCGCCAAATCACAACAAATTTGTCTCAGTGCACTTTACAGGAACATTCACATACATAAAAGACAATTAGTAAAGTTCTCTATCTAAGGAATCCAGCAGACAAGTTGAATCTTGGCTTCGTTGCAGTCTCCCATCCTGAGCAAGCACAGTGGCAGCAGTGGAAAGGAAAAACTCCCTTTTAAAAGGAAGAAACCTCCAGCAGAACCAGGCTCAGGACAAGCGGCCATCTGCTTTGACCGGCTGGTCAATCATATCTATCTGATAGATTCCAGTTTGTAAATGTAAATAATAAATCTTATTCATACACCAAAGTTAGTCATGGAGTTCCTCAGGGCGCAGTGCTTGGGCCAATACCCTTTACTTTATATATGCTTCCATTAGGTAAAGTTATTAAACAGCATGGGGTAAATTTCCATTGTTATGCTGATGACACACAATTATATTTGTCCATTTAACCCAATGAATCCAATCAGCTACTTAGATTACAAGCATGTCTTAAAGACATAAAAAACCTGGATGACCCTTACTTTTCTCCTGTTGAACACAGACAAAACTGAGGTTTTGGATTTTGGACGTGAGCACCTTAGGAATTAATTTTTCAGTCTTTCTCCCTCCTTAGATGGCATTAATCTGTCCTCCAGTTCTAATGTTAAAATCTTGGTGTTATTTTTGATCAGGATATGTCTTTTATCCCCCACATTAAAAACGTTACTAGAACTGCCTTCTTCCACCTGCGTAATATCACTAAAATTAGAAACATCTTATCTAAAAATGATGCCGAAAAACTGGTCCATGCATTTGTCACATCTAGACTGGACTATTGCAATGGTTTATTATCTGGATGTCCAAATACGTCTTTAAAACGTCTTCAGTTGATCCAAAATACTGCTGCCAGAGTCTTAACCGGAGTTAGTAGGAGAGATCACATCTCTCCAGTTTTAGCTTCTTTCCATTGGCTCCCTGTCAAGTCCAGAATAGAATTCAAAATCTTACTTCTCGCACAAAGCTCTCAACAACCTGGCTCCATCTTACTTTGTATATTACAGATCTTATTGTTCCATATTTTCCTAACAGAGCACTTCACTCTCAGACTGCAGGTTTACTTGTGGTTCCTAGAATTTACCAAAACAGAATGGGAGGCAGATCTTTTAGTTATCAGGCTCCTCTCTTGTGGAACCAACTTCCAATCTCTGTCCGTGAGGCTGACACATTATCCTGTTTTTAAAACTAGGCTTAAGACTTTCCTTTTTGCTAAATCCTATAGTTAGGGTTGGCTTGGGTTTCCTGAGCTGTCCCTTAGTTATGCTGCTATAGGCTTAGACTGCTGGAGGACAAACTGACCACAATTTTCACTCTACTACTGTCTTTACGTACTCTGCTCAACCTGTTTATTTTTTCTACCCTTAACATGTGTTTTTTTTGTCTTTCAGATACACCTGGATCTATACTTGGACCTACCATTGTGTGTTCGTCTGTCTCTCCTTCCTGTCCTCTCAACCAGCCAGTCACCACAGAGATACGGTGCTCCGCCTCCGTGATGTGCTCCGTGTTGGTTTCTACTTTAGCAGAGATGGTATTTAAAGTGGCAACAAGCTCCTCAAACTTTTTATCCATCAGAGCTGAAATGTTCTCAATAACAGTTTGGGAGATGTCCACAGCTAGGATGCCAGAGCCGCTAGTCGCTGCCTCGTGTAACTATGCTCCTCGTTTAGCTTCTTTGCTAGTTAGCATATTGTTCTTCATAGTTTGCTGGCTTAGTAGTGGCAGGTTTAGCTACGTTGGAGTGGGGCATTATGTCGGGTCGCTATGAGATAAAACTACAGTTTGTCAGTTTTGGTAAGAATCAGAAAGTAAGCTAAAATAGCTCGGGAGGAGAGGGAGCCCAGTGACAAGCGTCCGCTCAGGATAATTGCATCACGTGACCCCTCAACATTATTCTTTTATGGTTGGTTTTATTTAATTTCTTCTATGGTATGGTATGGTATAAACTTTATTCATTTTAAAAACAATACCAAACAATTCCATAAACTATATAAAAAAAATACAAGAGATTTAAACGAAAGACAGCAGAAAGAAGAAAAACTCTTATATCTGCCCCTTTTTTCCAAACAATTAGTTCAATCATAATAATCTTCAAGTAACAGAACAAAACAAATAACTCTTTCTAATTTTTCTAACAACACATTAAGCTACTTCATTTTTTTTAACAAATTCTTCTAATTTTTCAATTTATATGCTTTTTAAGCTTTTATATGCTTTTGTTTTTTTTTTAGCGTGAGATCGACAGATGGTTTGGTGCAGCATCTGCAGTATTTCAGGCTCTGTACCGGTCCGGTTTGTGCAACGCATCAGTCACAGACTTGTTCTGTTCTATGTGTGTGTGCATTGTCCCTGTCAAATAAACTAATAATAATAACAGCTGCTTTATGTTGAACAAACCCAGTATAATTTCTCCTTATTATTGTGTAAATGTTTTTTGGCTATTAGAACATCTCACCTGTAATTTGGTGCCAGGAACCATCACACACACTCTGGCTTGGTGATACTTCTGTAAAGAACTCGTGTTTGCCATCATTTACAAGAACAACCACCTGGAAAAACCAACAAAAACAAAATATGTCACATCTGGATGGCAGAGAACTTTGCTTTTGAACATTTAAATAACCTTAAAGTCCAACACCCACCCATCCATCCATCCATTTTCTTTACCCGTTTATTCCATTTTGGGTCACGGGGGTCGCTGGTGCCCATGTCCAGCAATTACTGTGCAAGGGGCGGGGTACACCCTGGACGGGTCGCAAGTCCATCACAGGGCCACATAGAGACAAACGAGACAAACAACCATTCACTCTCTCACTCACACCTAGGGACAATTTAGAGTTACCAATCAGCCTAACATGCATGTTTTTGGTCTGTGGGAGGAAACCGGAGTTCCAACACCCACCATTTATTCATATTCCATATCAAGCAAAATATGATAGATACATAACATGTTCATAACATAACCTGGTCTATGGCAAACGTTGAAATTAACTAAAACTAGTTCAAAAAATGTGTTTTTGTGACAATTTCAAACTGTTTGGTATGGTATAAAGTTTATTCATTTAAAAAAAGTACAAAACAATTCCATAACAATATAAAAAGATACAAAAGATTTAAAATGAAAGGCAGCAGAAAGAAGAAAAAATCTCATTATATCTGCCCCTTTTTTCAAACAATTAGTTCAATCATAATAATCTTCAAGAGACAGAACAAAATGAATAACTCTTTCTAATGTTTCTAAATTTAATACAAAAACACACTAAGCTACTTAATTTTTAATTTTTTTTTAACAATTCAGCTTTGATCTTTTCTTAAATGTACACATTGACTTGACATTTTTAACATCACTCTCTAGACCTTTCCACAATCCAATTTCTTGGATTGAGGTAGACCTTCCCTTCAGACTAGTTCTGAATTTTGTTTTGACAAATATCTCTATCCCCTTAAGATTATAACAACTTTGCCTTTTAACAAAATTTCTTTGGATATTTATTGGTAATGTGTTATTTTGAGCCCTATACACAACTGATAAAAAACTATAATCTACTAAATCATGGAACTTCAATAACTTCAGTTGATAAAATAATGTGCTTGATGAGTGACTGTAATGCTTTCTAGTGATGATTCTTACAGCTCTTTTCTGTAAAATAAAAATAGGCTTTGTAAATGTTTCACACGCTTTCCACCAAACATCAATGCAATAGATTAAATGTGGAACAATGATTGTGTTATACAACATGTATAGCGCTTTATCATTTAATAATTCCCTGACTTTGTATAGTACTGCAATAGATTTAGCCATTTTTGTTCTTACAGAATTTATGTGATTTTTCCATGTTAGTTGTTCATCAATGATTACACCCAAAAATTTCATCTCATTAACTCTACAAATCTCAACATCCTCAATTTTAAATGGATCATCAACAGTTCTCTTTTTGTTACTAAATATCATGTATTTAGTTTTATCTAAACTTAATGATAATTTATTAAGTTTAAACCAAGTTTGTATTTTATCAAATTCTGTCTTCATCAACTCCAACATTCGTTTTACATCTTTACCCAAACAAAAAAATGTGGTGTCATCTGCAAAAAGGACACATTTGAGGAGTCCTGATACATTTACTAAGTCATTCACATATAAAATAAATAACTTTGGTCCAAGCACAGAGCCTTGAGGAACTCCACATGTGATATTGCAGAGGTCAGATCTTACACCATTTATTTGTACAAACTGTTTCCTATCTTTCAAATAGCTAGATACCCAGTGTAAAGCTGGTCCTCTTATACCATATTTATTCAGTTTTTCAAGGAGAATATTGTGGTCAATAGTATCGAATGCTTTTTTTAAATCATCAAAAATACTAACACAATATTGTTTTTGAACGACAGCAGTAGTTATGTGTTCTATTAATTCCATGAGAGCCATTGATGTAGAGTTTTTTGCTCTAAACCTATACTGACTACTACTTAGAATGTTTTGTTTAGTAATAAATTTATGTAATTTGGTCACAAATAATTTTTCTAGAATTTTTGAGAACTGTGGTAATAAGGATATTGGTCTATAATTATTGAACACACAATTTGAATTTTTCTACCTGGATTATTGAGCATGCATCAGGATATTGAACACACATTTATCACAATTTTTAAAGAGAGGAACTACCTTAGCTACTTTCATATTGTCTTTAAATATTCTTTTTGAAAAAGATAAATTACAAAGATATATGTAAATGGCTCGATAACATTACTCATTATGCCCTTTACAAGCATCATATCCATGTCCACCCATTCTTTTGATCTTTATCTGTAAGATTTTTATTACATTCATTATTTCTTCTTTGTCAATTCCATTAAGAAAAATACTGTTGTCACAACCCCCCTCCCTGGGCTGCCACCTTACCGTGGTGGAGGGGTTTGAGTGTCCCAATGATCCTAGGAGCTATGCTGTCAGGGGCTTTATGCCCCTAGTAGGGTCACCCATGGCAGACAGGTCCTAGGTGAGGGACCAGACAAAGTGCAGCCCAAACACACCCCTATGATGAGAAACACAAATGGACCTAGTGTTCCCTTGCCCGGACGTGGGTCACCGGGGCCCCACTCTGGAGCCAGGCCTGGAGGTGGGGCACGTGGGCGAGCGCCTGGTGGCCGGGCTTTTACCCATGGAGCTCGGCTGGGCACAGCCCGAAGAGGAGACGTTGGTCCCCCTTCCCATGGGCTCACCACCTGTGGGAGGGGCCAAAGGGGTC